TGCTGGTGCCAAGAGTGTTCACTGTGGAGCCAAGCAAAGCAGTTTATATACAATTTTTAAAGTAACAATTTTATTCAAATAGAATTCATTTACCATAAAATAAATCCTTTCAAAGTATACAACTCAGTGTGTTTTAGTACATTCACAGATTGTGCAAGCATCACCATTACTTCCATCTAGAACATTATCAAAATAAATTTCATACCACTCACAGTAGCAGTCACTCCGCATTCTTCTTTCCTCTGCTCCTGACAACCATTTATCTATTTCCTGTCCCTCTAGATTTGCCTAGTCTGAGATTTCATATCAAGAAAAGTCATATGTGACCTTTTATATTTCGTTCTTTCATTTAGCATAACATTTTCAAGGTTCATCCACATTATAATGTAACAATACTTCAATACTTTTTATGGTTGAAAAATTTTCCATTATAGAGAAGTTGCTGTTATGTGCCTTCTCGTTGATTCCCACCCATATCAACCTTATGTACAACAGCTCTGAACCCTGCTCTATCCTGTGTCAATCTTATTGTCTCTGACATACCTAACCTCATTACCCCAGGCATTAAGTCAATTCATCTCATCCAGGGTCTTCCTCTCTTGTGCTGTCCCTCCACCCTTCCAAGCATGATGCTGTCCCTCTCCAAGGACTGGTCCCTCCTGGCAACATGCCCAAAGTAGGGACAGAGTTTCAAAATCCTTGCCTCCAAGGATAGCCTGCCACGATCTCCAGGATGGATCTGTTTATTCTCTTAGCAGTCCATGGTATATTTAATACTTTTCTCCAGAACCACAACTCAAAGGCATTGATTCTTCTTCTATCATCCTTATCATTGTCCAGCTCTCTGATGCATAGCACATAATTGTGAAGACCATGGCCGGGATCAGGCCCACCTTAGTCTCTAGACAGACATCTGAAGTACTCTGAAGAGGTCCCTGACATCCATTAATCTGTTGATACACATTTGGATTCTTTCCACCTTTAGATTATTATGAATAACACAACTATGTACATTCACGTTAAAGTTTTTATGTAGTCACGTTTTCACTCCCCTTGGGTAGAATTGTTGGGTCATGTGGTAACCACAAATACAATTTTATCTTATCCTCACTAAACTCTGTGAAGTAAATGGGCATTGGTGTCCAATTTCTAAGTCAGGAAACTGAAGTATGTAATCTGTGTGAAATTGAAAGGCCACACAGAGAGTCAGTTGGAAATTTGACTAGTTCAGTTCTAAACTGCCTAATTCAGAAGCGAATGATGTCCCCTTAAGGGAGTTCTAGTGGCTTAGTGGTAAAGAGTTGGGCTGCCATCTCAAAGGAACATGGTTCAAATCCCTCAGCTGCTTCATGGGAGGAAGATGGACAATCTCCTCTCCACACCCATGTTTATTGCAGCTTTGTTCACAATAGCAAAGAGTTGGAAACAACCTAAGTGCCCATCAATAAACGAAAGGATAGAGAAGCTGTGGTATATTCACACAATGGAATACTTGCTGCATTGGAAAAACAGTGAACTCATGAAATATTATTCAAAATGGATGACCCTGGAGGACATTATGTTGAGTGAAATATCTCAAT